CCATATTGCTGCTGTTTTGGTTCCAAGTTCTGGCATGAATGTGAGGCATTTTTGTCATGGGCAGGTAAGGCGTGGTCTCTTGATCCTCCAAAAAGGTTACTTTGAGCCAGAGCTGGAACTTGGAGGTACCAACGCTCTTCCCCTCCCCCCTTACAAGCATAAGTCCATCAAAATACAACTCCAAAACTGGGGTGAAGACTTGACAATAACTGATGGGTCTACTTATTGGGGCATCAAGCACCCAACAATATCGCCAAACATATGTAAGATTACTTCCAAAAACGAAGGTAACAAGTAATTCCTACATTTGCACTTCCTATCATCCCCCTTTGAATACTTTTAATCTTTTGATTGTTATGGCAGTGCAGTAATGACATTTCAGGGACGCACACATTGGCCCGTGATCATCCGCCTTCCAACACACCAATTTGACAAGAGAGCGTTAAAATTAAAAAAAAATATCAGCACTTTTTGCCAACCTATTAAGGCTGGCAAAAAAGCGTTGACGAACACGTAGCCTAAATGATGAAAACTCCTCAGTTCGAGTAAAAGACCTAACTTGGACTCAAATTAAGCGAGTGATGGCCTTGCAGAGGCAGTCAAAGTCCTCCCACAGCGCCCTTGAGTGAGCAACCGAGGTTAAGCTTATGCCACGACTTCAGTGCCCTTGAAGCCATTTCTCATTTCAACCATGGTATTTACCAGTGCCGTAATCACAACAAAACGATGTCTCCGAGCCTGGAGGCTACAAATGTGAGACACGCTTTGCATCAATTCGCGACAATCGGTGGCTCAGACGTAACTGCATAGGTTAACACCTTTAAAAGGGCAAGCAACGTTTCTGATCAGCGGAAAATAACTGACTGTTTTAATTCTCGAGGGGCGGCTGAATCGGTGTCACGAAAGAACAGTAGAACAGTTGGACGAAAGTTGATGGGGTTAAAGTGACCCTCGACGATGACTGCGTTAGGTAAAACCAGCACCCCAATGCGAACTCGCAAACAACCGGTGACCGGTGCAGTGAGGACCATACCGCAACCCATAAAGCCTAATTTCACTGACCGGCAACAAAAAGTCAAACCTGTGTAAGCTTAAAAAGGGAGCAGAGAAGAGCAGGCTGCTACTCAGCAGCTTCAAACGTCTGAAATACCGAAAAATCCACAACCCGTATTTGTCTGAGGGTGAGGTAGAGGAAAGTGCTTTCGTCAGTGGGTGGGATTTGACGAGTTAAAAACCATTTCCCCCAAAAAAGGGAATGCAAATGGAGTGAGACAAACTATGCCCAAATCAAGGACTAAACACCGGAAACGCTGTAGACCAACACAGAGCCAGGCATTAGGAAAGAGCTTCGCACATTGTTTAGCTGTGAGCTGCGAAAGAGGGGTTTCTGTGGGCAGAAGATAAGTGTCACTGGGAAGAGCCAAACTTCTGCCCTGAAGAAAGTTGTCGCAGCAAAATACTTAAAGTTAAGAGTTGAAAGCCCGTAAAAGACGTTGGAGTAGAAGCAAACCCCTGCAAAGTGTTAAATTTATTCCCCAATTCTCCGCACAAGGGAAACCTAAATCGTCCTTTTTGTTGCTGCTTGAAAAGTCATAGACCACTGCTTCCATGGGTCCTCCTTGGCAAAAGCCTAACTTCGCATGTGTTGGCAACTCTACCAACAAAAGTTCTAAATACAATTTTCAAGAAGGTTCGAATAAGGAGAGTTGATAAACAGGCTCTCAGTGCGACAATGGCCAGTAAGCATTGAGCATCCACTTTCTGAGTGGTACAGATTTCACGAAGGAAAGCAAGAACACATCCAAGGCCGGCCACCGAAGTTTAGTAGCCGTCTACAACTACTAAACGTGAAGTACCTCAC